TGAATTTCTCCTTCACTATATCTAAAAGCTCACAATTAATGCAATAAAAGTGAATAAGAAATAACAACATACTTTTGAATTCTTTTTTCTATTATTGGCCTTACTATGTCTGTCCACTCAGCATTAACAGGAATAGGACCCAAGTCAATTGGGCCGCTTTTTAACCCATCCAACTCATACAATCTTCCCTCAAAAGGTATATAACCAATAAAGTGGTACACATCTTCACTTTTGCTTGCCAGTGAATTATCAAATTCAAACAAATTTTGTCTTGCAAATGAATTATGAACTGAACGAATTACAGGAGAATTACTGATAGTAAGACCTTTCATATTAGCATCAAATCCTTGACAAAATTCTCGCAATTCTGATAGAGTTGAACCTATAATGTAGGTTTGTCAATATTTAATTTTGGATGATAATTAAGTTTAGAGGTTAAGAAAGTTATTCATTTGAATTTATTTATTTTAGCATACCTAATTTTATATCTGGATGTCGACAATTTAATAAAACACTTAAAATAGCTTGAGTGGCACATGCATTCTCTATTACTTGTCTTGCAAAGAATAGCTTGTCTAATCTACTATCCTGTACAATGGGGCCACTGGGTTCTTCATCCTTTGCCCATTTAAATAGAAATATAAGACCATGAATCGGCCTACGAAAATTTAATAGTTATTTTTTGTTATTAATAATAAGGCGATTTCTATTAACTCACTTTAAATTTTCAAATTGTTCTCCATCTAAACTCCACAATTCTTCTACTTGTGCTCCTTTTACACCTATTTAAATGAACAAAAATAACAATATGCGTATTATATACTAAATTAACAGCAATGTTGGTACGTTTTTTCTTTTAAAATAAAAATATGATAGCTTTGTAGAATTTTAAGGTTATACCTAAAAAGGCATTAAATCATACCGAATTCTCGTATCAATTCCGTGAAAACTCCTGGGTCACTCTCAATTAAACACCAATTTCCTGCACTTTCAGACATTTTAATTAAACAATATTTAAATACTAATTCAAATTGATCGTTGTCACGCTGACAATTTTTTGCTTCCTCATTTACATATTGGAAGATTTTCAAAACTTTGTTTATTTAACCACTTAGAATCCAGAAGAAACCACCGTTACTTTTAATAAGCATTTATGAAGTGGTAATAAACGAGTTTATTTTCCTCATTAAATTCAATAAAATTTATATCCGAACATCCATAATTTATAGCTTCATAATTCGATTCTGCTTATTTATTAACTTTTTTAAATTATTAATTTATCATCTATGACTGATTAATAATATTTCTAACATTTTATATGTCTTATCTATGGAAAGATATTTTTGTCAACAGATCAATACAGAGGTTAAACGAAAGTAGTTCATCCCTAAATTTCTTAATTTAATAAAAAAGTGTTAATTTAAGTAATACTTAACTGTAAAAGCAGAAAGTAGGAATATGGCAGATTTACGAGAAAGACATATAAGTCGAGAAAATGTATATGGACAAAAATTTGGCAAAAAGTAAACTAATAAAAACAGATGAGAAAAAGGTAATAATGGAGTTTTGTCTTATTTTAGTTATTTTACAAACCAGAACAGTTCTCTTAGAGAAGAACAAAAAGTGTATGTCAGACAACTAAATGGACCCATGACAAGAAGACAGAGTAGCAGTTTGGACAGTGCTCCTTCACTGCAGGTGAATTTTCAAAAAGAACAAATGTCAGGCCAAAACATAGGTGTTTTCTATTTATTTGTAAAATCCGCATCTTTTCCACATGCTGCTTGGATTTGTTATCATAGCATGGTTCTCCAGAATTTCGAAGAAATTACGTGTACCCCAGTCACATAGCCCCCATGCCTGCGTTTACAGTTCCCCATCAGGTACCTTCTTTAAATTTCTTTGTGTGCTTGATTACAAAAGCCCAATTGTTTTATAATTTATGTCTTTGGTTTTAACTAATCTTAAATATAAATTCTCTTTTTATGCTTTGTTTATACTAATATTTATTAACTGTATTTCTTAAACCTACCAATTTAAGGAATTAAATGGACATGCCTATAATACATATAAGAATCAAGCTCAGGAGAGTACATATCCAACTACCACAGACACCGAGCAAGCTGTCAGCAAAATCAGTGCGATGTTTCCAACTGTCTCTGATACACACATAAGAATTTTATTAAAAAAGTAAGGCTTCTATAAATTTACTTCCTTAATACAACTAGAAAACTTTTTTATTGATTATTAAAGCTCAAATTTTTTGTATTCTGTAATTTTTGATGTTAAAATAAGGTGAAAGTAAAATTTAAATAATAAACACAAAAAATAAACTTAAAAACGGAATTAATGTTAAGAAATTGTAAAGTAATTTGAATCTAAAAAGTTCTTATTGCTAATTAAATGCTCTATAGGTACCATAACAGAGAAGCTCTGGTAATAAGTGCATTGCAAGTAGAGAAACATCCAATCACAACACCTGGACCATATGCAACTCCACCACCGGGTCGTAATATCAATGTTCATCCCTCAATTCATGCTGCAAGACAAATAACGCCCCCTCTTAGTTTACACAGCAGCTCGAGAACTGGCAGCCCTATTTTAAGACCAGGTTCGGATTTGAGCTCTGGGTATATAAGCGAATATCGGAGTTCACCAAAAACACCTCACTCTCCCAAAATGAAACTGAGGTGCGCATTTATGTATTTATTTATTTTTTACTTATTTAACTAGATACAAAAAGTAAGTTCTACAGAACTCCGCATGTGCATACATACGTTCCCATTCGAATGCCTAATATAGCATGAAATTATATACATGATGACACATTCCATATAAAAGTTTTTTATAACGTACTTAAATTTAACGCTTGGAGTTTGGTGAACTGTTTCTTTTTAGTAATCTACCTACTTTTTCTGTAGATATAAAAATGTGAATAATTTCTACCTTTTAGAGGTTTTAGTGAAACCTTTTTTTAATCCAATTAATTATTGTGACCTTTATAAGACTGTTTAATTTTTTCCTTGTGTTCTGAATTTGTATTGTGTACATACAGTATAGGTAAAAAATACTTTTATTTAGATATATGAAGTCGATATTCCCAAAAGCTGATGAAGATGTAATTCTGGACATTCTTTGTAATAATGACAATAACATTCAAAAGACTTCAGGAATTCTGGAGGATATGGGCTTTCAGAGAAGAGAAATCGTCAAAATAATACCAAAACAACCACAAAAAAAGAATGATGGAAAAAAAGACGTTTGCAATGAAAACATAATACCCTCAACAAAACTGAAAACTTTGGTTGATAAAGCACAAAGTATAACTATTATTTATTTTTAAAATTCTGCAAAAACAAAAGTTACTTCATGTTTTTAGTGACTTTTCGTTTGAGGGAAAAGTATCCCCATACTCCAGAGCATTTAATAACCTTTGCCCTTGAAAGTGTTGATTTTGAAGAAGAAAAAGCACACCAAATATTATCAATGATGATAGAAGAAGAAAAGTCTAAAGAAGCAGCTGCAGCCAAAGAAAGGTAATTAAAATCTGCTTTATTTAATTGTCAGTGTTTGGTTTCATAAACCATGTTCATCCTTAGGCAAGAAGAAAACTCTGGTAAAGCTGAAGTGATGCCCATATCACTATCAGAAAGTAGGCAATCTTTGAAGTCTTTAATGATAAACGAGCAAAAAGAAGGATCTATGAAACAATCAAGCAGTTTTTGCAGGTATTTTTTTGTAATTAAATTTAAGGATGAATGTTTAAATAAAGGTATCTTAAAGGGTTCTGGAAGAAACTGGAGAATATGAAGGCGGTTATATATCGTCAAATTTACAGAATACAATGGGCGCAAATCCAAATAATGTTAAAGGAGCTAATTCTCAGTTACTATTGTAAGCAAAGTTTTCATTGTGGGAAATAATTTTTAATGTAATATTTATTATTGTGTAGGAAGAGTTATGTTCACTGTCATGGAGCCGATCCAAAACTGCGACAAATCCCGTCCAAGGGACTAGCCAAAGGTCCAAATTCGAAGTTGGTTAGTTTAAAAAATTATCAAGCTCATGGACCGAATCCGGAATTACGTAAAGGGCCCAAAATCGGCCTCGCCAAGGGCAATATATTTTCTCAGTTGAAAAACATCGTTGTAGGAGAGTCAAGAGGTAAATAGCAATATTCTTGTACCGTTCTTTAAACGGTTACATTATTTTTAGTTAATTTATTGCTTTCTTTTTATTTATAATATTGAGTGGAAATTCTCTAAACGCTATATATTTTACAATTAAAAAGATTAATCGCTTTTGAATCGCTCAGAAATTTTTGTCGCTTTTTAGTTACATTTACTCGTTAACGTGCAATAAGTTATAGAATAAAAGAGGTATTTGTTTTAAATATCACTTGGTTAATATTTACTGGGTTTATAAAAATTAAAAATGCCTACTATTTTGCCTTTAAAAAAAGTAACATCTATTAGTTTCTCGAATAATCACGTAGGTTTCTCTTGTTTTTGAAGCACTTTAAAATAAATTGGGTAAACACTTAATTATTTACCCTTAATACAACTACCTGTTGTAATTCGTAAATGATTGTACCTGCTGCATCTTAACCATTTCCTCCATTTATTTTTAAATGCCACTGCTCATGAGCCATTTGTCAGGTCGTTTAAAATCATTTTTAGAAATTTCTTCAAAAAAGGTCCCAAAATTTATATTGCATATTTGAATTGTGGCAATTATTGTTTGCTTATTTTAGGCCGCAAACATTTTTTGAATGACGGTTTAATATTGGCGAGACAATAAATTTCAGAGAAAAACAAAATCAATCAGGACCCTTTTTGAAGTCCATGCAAATATATTAACCACCTTTTAAATCAAAATAAAAATACTACGGCAAAAATACTATTTTTGATATGTAGTTGAAAAAAAAGATAATGTAAAATGTACGTCTATATTTTTTGAAGTTTTTTTTTTCGTGAAATCCGTGTCGATGTTATATTGTATAATTTAGCTGTGTAATAGGTACTTTAATAGAATAATTACATTTTGTGTAGACTCTTTTAGAAACAGAAATCTCTTCAGTAGTATGTATTTTAAATTCATATTTTTTTATATGTAACCTTTTACTAGTGTAGGAATTATTTATTCGCAATTTATAAAAATACTTTCTTCATGTGCCGATTACCGTTAGATTTTTTTAAATATTTTTCTGCAATTGAACTAAAATTCAATTTTGAGGTTGAATATTTGACGAGAAATACAATCAGTAAGTTAATATGTACTAATAAAAATACATTCACATAATACAATTAAATAAATTAGATTATGAAATTCCCCAATGTGGAAAAAAAACGTACCTAATGATCCTACAGTAATTAGAATTGAAATATTAGAGGCTGTGCAAAGTAAATTTAGCCGCCCATAATAAAAAAAAACAAATTACTAGAATACTGGTATACTTGTAAAAGGAGTAATGAAAAGCAATTTGTTACACATTGAAGCAAAAACGGTGGCATACTCTGAAAGTAATATTG